ACAACATATTGATGTGTAAACACATCTGGGTGTCCATTTAAAGAAATGATTTACTGAAAATGTACTCCAAATGTAAATAATGAACCATGACATGTTTAGTTTCTGAAGTTTGCTTCCTTAGTTTTGCACTGGAGCTATGAGGCTAGTGTAGAAGTCTGTCACCTCTATAGATTCTGGGAGACACAGACTTAGATACCTTGTTAGCTCAGTCAGCCTCAGACATACAGTACAAAACTAAAGAAGCAAACATGTCTTGGCATAAGTACATTTCGGGTAAATTAGATTTTTTGCAGAACCATTTCATTTTCATAATAAACAGATAATACAAAATGTTTTTGCCTTTAAAATCTCCCTTTCAGAGGGCTATTATATGAAATGGCTATGAATTTGCCTCATTCACCAATATCCTCCTAAGTTTCTTCTTAAATTTGTTCTTGAGAAAGGTTCAAAGAAAAAGTCTATGTCAGATTCATGACATTCTTGAACTGCAGAATTGTTCACACCTTTGTGCTCTTGAGTGTGTTTAGATTCTAAATAAGAAAACATTTGTGAATGCCAGAATCTTTCTAAAAACTATGTAAGTGGGCTGTAAGAAGAAAATTCTTCTTAAGAACAGTTGGTGAATGAGACTCATTGTTTTATGACAGTTCTGTGATAAGGCTTTGGCCTAAAACTTTTTAAAAATCCATTCATAACAGAGTGGTACATGCAGGGTGACCTAAGGCAAAATAGTTTCCAAAGAAACCTTTTTTTTTTTAATTTACCACTATTTTACCATTTTCAACATTACAGGTCAAAAAAATAGACCTAATGACCCCAGGCTCCTATGCCAGTGCTGCAAAGAAGCTGTGTCTCACAGGCAAGGATGCAGCCAAGGAAGGCTGCATTTTTCAGCCATTACATTCCTGAAGGCTGTCCCGTTTCATAGGATCCTTTGAATGAAGCCGAAAAATACAGTCTTCTTTTCTGAGAACCTGAAGGATGCGGCTGGTGTATCCTTCAGGCGCAGCCCAAAATACATCCCCAATTCCAAAAAAGTTGGGACGCTGTGTAAAATGTAAATGAATGTGAATAAAAACAGAATGCAATGATTTACAAATCTCATAGACCCATATTTTATTCAAAATAAAACACAGAACACATATCAGATGTTGAAAGTGAGACATTTTACCATATCCTGAAAAACATTAACTCGTTTAGAACTTGATGGCAGCAATGCATCTCAAAAAAGTTGGGACAGGGGCAACAACAGGCTGGAAAAGTAAGTGGTAATAATAATAAAATAAAAAAAAAAAACAGCTGGAGGAGCAATTTGCAACTAACTCACATGACTGGATATAAAAAGAGCATTTTAGAGAGGCAGAGTCTCTCAGAAGCTAAGACAGGCAGAGGTTCACCAGTCTGCGAAAAACTGTGTCTAAAAATTGTGGAACAATTTCATAAAAATGTTCCTCAACTTAAAATTGCAAAGACTATGGATATCCACCCATCTACATTACATAATATAATCAAAAGTCAATAATGGATGCTCGTGACCTTCGGCCCTCAGGCGGCACTACACTGAAAACAGGCATGATTCTGTACAAGAAATCACTGCATGGGCTCGGGAACACTTCCAGAAATCATTGTCTGTGAACACAGATCGCCATGCAATCCGCAAAAGCAAGTGAAAGCTGTATCATGCAAAGAAGAAACTATATATAAACAGGATCCAGAAGCGCCGCCAACTTCTCTGGGCCCAAGCTCATTTAAAATTGACTGAGGCAAAATGGAAAAGTGTCCTGTGGTCCAGTGAATCAAAATTTGAAATAAAATCTAAAGACCTCCCAGCTTGTTATTAGCACACAGTTCAAAAGCCAGCATCCATGATAGTATGGTGGAACATTAGTGCACATGGCATAAGGGTCTTGCACATCTGTGAAGGCAACATTAATGCTGAACAAAATATACAGGTTTTGGCAACATATGCTGCCATCTAGACAATGTCTTTTTCAGGGAAGGCCTTGCATATTTCAGCAAGACAATGCTAAACCACATACTGCATCCATCACAACAGCATGGCTTCGCAGAAGAAGAGTCGGGGTGCTGAACTGGCCTACCTGCAGTCCAGACCTTTACCAACAGAAAACATTTGGCACATCATGAAATGAAAAATACAGCAAAGAGGCCCAGGACTGTTGAGCAGCTAGAATCCTACATCAGACAAAAAATGGGACAACATTCCTCTCCCAAAACTCCAGTAATTGGTCTCCTCACTTCCCAGACGGTTACAGACTGTTGTTAAAAGAAGAGGGGATGCTACACCATGGTAGACAATAGTAGCTCTGTTCCAACTTTTTTGAGATGCGTTGCTGCCATCAAGTTCTAAATGAATTAATGTTTTTCATGAAATGGTAAAATGTCTCACTTTCAACATCTGATATGTGTTCTGTGGTCTATTGTGAATAAAATATGGATCTATGAGATTTGCAAATCATTGCATTTTGCTTTTATTTACATTCATTTACATTTTACACAGTGTCCAAACTTTTTTGGAATTGGGGTTGTAGTTTGAAAAATGGCAGAAAAAGCCACAAATGCCAAGATGCTGTGATGCCAGACTTTGTGATGAAATGTGAAATTTTATGTATATGTGCATGCAGTTACACCAGAGAGGTCTCCAAATCGCCCAAATAGTGAAGGTTTAACAATTGAATTATGGTGTATTTGTCTTTTTTCATTTTATTTACGCTGTTCTCTTTGTTTTTATTGTATTTTTTTATTCAGTTATTTTACATTTATTTTCTTGTTTATTACTGTTACTGTTGAATTTTATCACTTGTTTATGAAGCAGTTAGAGCTGACACTAGTATAATGTGCTATAAGTAAAAGTTTATCATTACTGTTATTATTTGTAGTGTCCTGCTACTGGTTCGTGCTGCTGTAGAGGCTCAGGAGATGTGACCATGCAGAGGGCCATGCATAGAGGCTCATGAGAGTCACTCGCTCCCTGTAAAAAGTGACATTTATATTGTTCATGTCTCTTTTCATTAGTTTAAAGGTATGTGTACATATTTATTGTGTTTTTCTGTGTTGGAGGGTGTGGATGTTTTGTTTTGGGAATTGGTCACCACATGGTTGAAGTCTAAAGCTTGCGGTGACCTCCCTTGTAAGTTCGGTGCTTTGTATGTGTATTTCTTATGGTGTTTCAAAAAAAGGAGCACTACTTGCAGCAGAAACATGACCTCCTATGTGTTTTGCTCTACACCGATGCCACAATATTAGTAATCCAAGCAGTGTTCAGATTTGTTTACCAAGACATGTTCTATTTATGTCCGTGTCATAACGTACAACATGAAGGTGAATGTTGAACTGATTTGATCTGTATTATCAATCAAATGCTGACGAATATTCACATGCTTTGGTGTCAACCATTTTAGGATAACAACAACAGTACTACAACCACACCCACTATGATAAATCATTCGCTCTTCGGTATTAAGAAAGAAATCCTCGGAAATAGTCTAGGACCTTGTATGACTGGATCTTGAAACTCTCTGTTCAGTCAGGAACACACCTCGAGCCAACATTTACCTGTCGCATATTCGCAAACTGGTTCAACCACCTCAGGCGTGTACCGTTTTTTTTCCACCTGTTCCTTCCCCACAAAGTCCACCACACAAGCTTGAACTAATACAAAGAAAATGGGTGGCATGCAAATGTGACCATTAGCTTTGAATTCATTTCCTGAGTGTGTAAAAATTGCTGCCTTGTTAATCATTACATTACGACATCATTGAGCTGCATGAAGGCAAAAACAGAAAATGCTACACATTCTGAGAGTGTGATTACCTAGTTTCTGACTTTCCTGGATCTGCTTATGCTTTGTCATCCAACTCTAGCCTTCTCTTTTAAGCCATGTTGTACACTTTTATTAACTTTTTTAACCCTATTAACAAAGTCACACCGTCACACTGACCATTTATATAATGTCAGGAACATATAATGGACATTAATGGGGGAAACTATAAGTCTTTTCCACACTGATGTCAAGAGAGTTAAGTTATATGTCTCCTGACTTTATGAAAATGAGGAGTGCAGTTGTCCCAGGGCAAAGATGTAATTAGAATACCTTGTGAAAAAACTAGCAGTTCAACATATAGTTCAGTATGTGTTGCTTTTGTGAAATATGTCCCCAGTATCTGAACTATAAAAATAAGACACTGTATTCTGAACTAAGAAACAAAGTCACAACAAAGACACTACTTCTTACTACCTGCTGTTTTCTTTAGCACACTGCATAAAGCCAGTTCTTCAGCTAATGGCTCCACCTGTTCACACTGGCACCCTTTCAAGCAGACCTGGGAAGAAAGACTTAACCTTCTGAAAAGAGCTCTCAACTTGAGAATAACAGGTCGATCTTGAAAAATGATTTGAAATGCTTCTTACGCAATCAGCTACACAGGACAGTAGCAAAGAAAAATCGCTTAGATATAGTTTCGTGTAATCACTGATACACCAAAAAATTGATTGCAAACTAGGAAGACAACAAGGAGTACTATATCCATCCTTCTTGCAGTTGATGACAGCTGCACACCACTTGGTTATATTATTTCCCCAAAACCACTCCCTCACTTGACAAACTGTACAGCATCGTGTACTTTCCATATGGAATATCAGTCATTTTCTGGTAATTTCCTTCATTTAAGTGAAAACAAATAGTACCTATCAAATGTATCAAAAACATTTGTTAAAATCAAAGCATGACGTATGTGTATCTACAAATTTGATTTTTGAAGCAAAACCATCACCAGTTCAGGAGGATGTGACTATATAAGGCCAAATTCTGTTTTTGTTTGTGAGACGTAGACATGGTGAGTCACAATCTCATAGGAGACAGTCCTCAGAGGAACAAGATGAAACAACCAAACCAGCAGAGCAGGTTATGAGGTAGTGCCTGTGTCACAAGCCCCACCCCCCAGCAGGTTCTCTTATAGAGACTGCTTTCACACTGTGTGCTGTATTTGTGCAAGAAGACCACAAAGAGCCACTTCAACAGCAAGAGAAGCAACAAAAGGCGTCAGAAACAAGATGGTGTCTGTTGGGCTACAGATGCTGGGCGCTGCCCTTGGCATCATCGGCTGGATCGGTGTTATCATCACCTGCGCTCTTCCTATGTGGAGGGTCACAGCCTTCATTGGCAGCAACATCGTCACTTCGCAGATAACATGGGAAGGCATCTGGATGAGCTGCGTGGTGCAGAGCACTGGGCAGATGCAGTGTAAGGTCTACGACTCCATGCTGGCCCTTAGCTCAGACCTCCAGGCCGCACGGGCCCTCACCATCATCTCCATTGTGGTGGGCCTCATGGGTATTTTCCTGGCTATGGCTGGAGGGAAATGCACCAACTGTGTGGAAGACGAGAGGTCCAAGGCAAAGGTTGCTGTGACAGCAGGCGTGGTTTTCATCATTTCCGGGGTGCTGTGCTTGATCCCTGTGTGCTGGACTGCCCAAACCATCATCCAGGACTTCTACAACCCTTTGCTGAACCAGGCACAGAAGAGGGAGCTGGGGGCGGCGCTGTTCATCGGCTGGGGGGCTGCTGCTCTGTTGATCATCGGAGGAGGTCTGCTGTGCTCTAGCTGCCCACCCAATGAGAAGGGCTCATACACAGCCAAATACAATGCTGCTCGTTCTCAAACCTCTGCCCCATCCACGAAGGACTACGTCTGAAAAGTTCTGGAGCCTCAAGAACTGATTATGCCCCCCATGTTTACTGTCTTATGTCCAGCAAGTACTGTCTCACTAATACTCTGAACAGACTTCATGAGGGCTTGATGGACAATTGCAAGAGCCAAAGTTACTGGTTTCTAACACACATATATTTACATTTTACCCAGAATATGATAAGGAACCACAATGAAAAGCTTTCTCCTTTGCTATAACTGGTAGTTTGTGGTATAAAAGTATGATCATATTTTATTGTCTTAGCACAGCTGCTGAGTCAAGTTTAGAAATGTAATTTTTCACTTTTGTTAAGCTTTAAGAATCTAATGGTTTTGTAAATAAATATTTTTTGTACAGTATACCTCATTCTTATTTTGCTTGTGTCAAAACATGGAAAAAAATAAATTCACATTTGTTATGTCTGACATATGTTTTTGTGTTTACTGGTTTTGGAAATGAAACAAGCTTGACTTTTGAACAGTAGTGTTGGATTGCTCAGTTTTTGTACTGAATTCAACTCTGTGGCTGTGAGGAAAATGTTTTCAAAGGGAGTCATCCTATCATGACAATCCAGTTCAGGCGTGGCTCAGTCAAGAAAACCTGTCACAGATCACATAACATGTAATTGCATATGTATGAGAAACAAAGCTCCAAGCCCATAGCTTTTATTAAAACTATTAAGCATTTTTTAACACTAAAGCAAACACTGCCAAGAAATATGTAAGTAGTATAATTTTTTAGTTTGGGAAGTAAACTTGTCAGCATTCGTAGTTCAGTTGAAATAAAAAAAAAAAATCATACCTGGATGGCACCTTTTGAACTTCACTGTTCACTGTTGGGTCATTTGCATTATTTATATTGTTTAAATCCTTAAATTACACAAAAACGATATTTTATACTATAACTATAAAAACAAGGAGTGAAGTTGTAAGAATTGAATGAAAGAAAGAAGAATGAAAAATCAATCACAGGGTTGATATCAAACAAGCTTTCTCACTTATCATCTGTAGGGATCTTTCCAATAAATTAATGAATCAATCAATTGATCGATCAATCAATCAAGTTCCAACCACAAAATACAGAATTTTTAAGAGTTCTTTTGGAGTGATTCCATAGAAGAACTTTTTTGGGTCTCTAAAGAACCAAAGGCATCAGTGGAATCAATGGGCCTGATGGAACCAAAAGGATGTTTGGAGAGACTCCATAGAAGACCCACTTTAGTTCCCTTAAGAACCTTTCAGTGGATGGTTCTCCAAAGAACTGTTTCTGTAAATAAAACGTATGAGGATAAAGAACCTTTTTAAAGTAATTAAAAGGTTTTTCCTGGAACCATACATCCAAGCTAAGAACTATTTAGGAGCCTTTATTTTTAAGAGTGTATACGAAACTACATGTATAAAATAATTGAAATCATCTGTTCCTGTTTCCAATTTAATTAAACATTAGCAGGTAGTTCATACGTCTTGGATTCTGCTAGAGGTCGCTCAGGTTGTATGCCTGAATAGGACTCACAGAACAATGGTTGAAACAGAGCTGTTCCACTATCAGATGACGAACTTTTCTTTTTGTTTGAATGTGCAGAGGAACCCCACCCTTAAAGCAGTAACTATAAAAACTCAGCTCATACCACTCAGACACATTTCCTAAACTTTCCCATGAAAGTCTGTAAGACCACCAATAACAATGGCATCCCAAGGCCTCCAGATCCTAGGTGTTATGCTCGCTATAGTGGGCTGGCTGGGGACGATCACTACCTGCGCGCTGCCTATGTGGAGGGTCACCGCTTTTGTTGGCGCCAACATTGTTACAGCCCAAATAATCTGGGAAGGTCTGTGGATGAACTGTGTGGTCCAGAGCACCGGGCAGATGCAGTGTAAGGTCTACGACTCCATGCTGGCTCTTCCTCAGGACCTGCAGGCGGCTCGAGCCATGGTCATCATCTCTGTCATAGTGGGAATCTTTGGTGTGCTGATGGCTGTGGTTGGAGGAAAGTGCACCAACTGCATGGAGGATGAGGCAGCAAAAGCCAAAGCCTGCATTGTCGCTGGTGTGATCTTCATTATCGCGGCCGTCCTCATCCTCATCCCTGTCAGCTGGTCTGCCAACACTGTAATCAGGGACTTCTACAACCCTCTGGTGAGTGAAGCCCAACGCCGAGAGCTAGGAGCTTCGCTCTATATTGGTTGGGGATCTGCAGCTCTCCTGTTGTTGGGCGGTGGGCTGCTATGCTGGAACTGCCCACCCAAGGAGCCTCGTCCCTACATGGCAGCCAAATTTGCCCCCGCCAGATCAGCATCCTCACCGATGAATTACGTGTGAGCGATAAATTGAATGTCCATAAGGACTGAAGTTGGAACTGACAAATTCTGAACTCTGAACAAAAGCAGGTTGATCCGATTATGTCTTTCTATATTTCTTTTAAGGTTATGCATTATTCTGTTATGTGATTACTGAATTTTGAACTTTTGATCTGTTCAATATCCATGAATGAATAAATTCTGTACATTGCATGTTGATTAAATGTATTATTCATTTCAAACGTCTAATGATTAAAAGCTAATGAAACAGAGTATTTAAGTGATTGAGTGTTTCATCCCTATATGATTAAATAATAGCTGAAATGTTTTCTAAGTAATCCTGAGTACTTCTGTGATGTTTATGGCAAAGACAAACCACAAATGATTCTACACATTCAACCAAAGAAATGCAAGAAAACAATTGGTAAGATATTAATGGTCACTAGAGAAGCACCGATCATGATTTTTTTTTGTGGCTGATGCAGATTTCTTTACAGGCAAATTGGCCAATGGCATATTTTTATTAGCCTGTTTTAATCGAAAGCTCACACTGTTTGGGGTAAATAAACACATGAAACACATTAGTATTTTTCCAGTTCTTTTTATTAGCCAAACAGGCAATATAAACAGCACTATTCGCTCTTTAAAGGGCCAAACTGGCTTAAAACTTTTCAGTTTGAAAGCAGATGCCTATTTAAGTAACATGGGTCAAATAAAATCATACATCGAAAGTAAAGGGCAACTAGCTATTTAGCACAATGAGTCAGGCATAATTATGCTACAGCATTTTGATACAGGTGTAGCAGCAGCAGTCAAAGCCAGAATGAGCACACTTACAAGCCTTGCATTATTTACATCAAAAAACTGTAACACAGATCTACCAAAATAAACACAATGAACTGGCTGACTGCTAATTTTGTGTTTTGAGCAAATATCTGCCAATTCCAACTGTGCATCTCTAATGGTCACCTAACTAATATAAAAGGTAGTGCTGGAAAAACCCTGCTACAGTGCATAAAGTCATAACAATGGCACTTCAGTGCTTTTTGAAACTGTAGGACATACAATTCTATGTTGCACTATTACATTACATTCTATTTGGGGTTTTAGGGTCATTATACAATAAACAACCCAAAACAGACTACTAGCCTGCCACATTCCCACCTTTAAGTGACAAACTGCACTTACATCAATGCTCAACATGCATGCCTAACAGAAATAAAAAGGAGGTATGTCTTACTACTGCTGTTGTTGTGGGGTCATTTAACTATACTGTGAAATAGCACTCAATGTGTGCAATGAAAGAAAAAAAGTCTTGCAAATATATGCAAATAAAAATTTTTCTCATATGGCCAGTGCAGGTGGCCATCCTTCAGAGAGGCACTGTGAGCTCAGCAGAGGCTAATAGTTAACTTTAAAGAGTAGCTGAAAGGGATTTTCCATGCAGAGACACAACTGAGCGCAACTGCTTGCAGGTTCAAGAGGAATGAGGCCAGACATGATTTTTCTAGTCGTGTTAGCATCACAAAAGGAACAGTAGCAGCTGCACTAAAAGCACTGAGCTCATCTCAGGTTTTTCCATGAATCAGATGCTGTGCTCAAATGTCCCCTGAATCTCATCAGTCCACTATTACTAAGAAACATTCCACAATAATAAAGCTATCACTTGCTTAAATTAGGCAGAACATTAATTCAGACGCTTTTAATGGGTGTTTTGATGGCCAGGTTGATGGCCATTATTTCTATTTTCTCTTTTCTTTAGTGAAAACAGGATTTTGTAATGTATATACACCTACTGATTGACACTCACATAAATCATTTTTCAAAGGACTAAAAATATATGAACAGTTTCTTTTCAATGAATGAGGAATGAGTTTTTGAAAAAAATAACAGCTGACATATAATGGAAAACATGTTTTTTTCTATATGTCACCATCAACAACAACATACAAAAAAGACGTCTATAATGCGTTTTGGAACGAAACCCTTCATATCTAATTACACTATTTCCCCCTCATTGCAAAACTAGTTGATCAGGAACAACAAGTTTGGCGTCCAAAGTTGGCATACAAGGTACTTCTTTAGTTTTGCTGCAAAGCAAGGTCAAAATGATTAATCTTAGAAATCGTCCGGTGCCTTAATCAGGATACACAACATGAAATAACCCTAAGAACAGAGAAATATGATGAACCAAATTATCTGTGCACATGCGCTAAGTATACAGATAGTATGGACAGACCCTGCATGCTTTAAACATGGAGGGTGTGGTTCCATGCAAACTGTTACCATACTACAAATAAAAGGCAAAAAAATTATAATGATTCATAAACAAATCATTATGACCAAACTGGCTGCAGGTGAAGTTCAGAGAAGTGAAGCAAGACCAGTCTCTGGCAGTGTCTGAAAAGTTCAATGAAATGTCCTTTCCTGCTTTCCTTTATTCTGCCTGATCTGATAACCATGTGGAGCCACATGTACCCCATGTACTAATGAAACACAACTGCCACTGTTTCCAATTGTGTTGTCAGGAGACTTATGGAGTAAAATAGTGAATGGCTCTTTTTAATGATTAAACCCTCACCTAAGAACTACACCATTTCAGCCAGTAGAGTGACTTTGTTATATAAACTGAAAACTTAATGAAAACAGTTTATAGCCTACTATAATTGTCATTTTTTCATTGACAGTCAAACACTGCAGACTCATATTAAGGTGTTTTTATAGACTGTAGGTAAACATGTGGATGACTGGCAATCCCACTGAAAGAAAAAGGCACAAACTAAAAAATAATAAAAAAAAAAAACTAAAAAAAAAAATTAAACAGAATGAACTGTGCTGCCTTTAAACAACTGATCTATGTAAAACTGACAAAAATTAAACATTTTGGACATTTCAATGAAAATTTATTTTGAAAAAAATTCCATACAGGGAAAGGCCAGTAATTGAACAATATGTCACAGTGCATGACTGTGTCCAAACTGCTGAATGAAACTTCCTTTCCCACCTGCTGTCCTTGATTTTGTGTGATCTATGAGTGCAGCTCATGGCTGCGCTAAACATATCAGCAGTTGTATATGTATATGAATCCACATAGCTGATCAGGCAATATAAAGGCCAGCATACAGGAAAGGAACTTTCGTTCAATGATTCAGACACAGGCCATATGTTTAACTAATGCCTCCGTGCTCACGCCATTGTGTTTAATTCAGTGTGACTGGATGAACAGATGGACATCAATCAAGCGTGCTTATTAGAATAACAGACAACGCCCAGGCAGTTTCAGATCTGATCAGTTAATTTAGCTGGATTTTGAGTAGCCTTTAATTACAGTTCTATCTCGTTTAAGCATTCAAACTTGTCTAATGTAACTTTCAAGTTTAGTATCACACAAACATCGGAAAGAGTTTGCATATGTTCCCTTAGACTTCAACACTAGTTGAATCTCAAATAGCTCCCTATCCTCTATGGAGCGCACTGCATAGGTCATGCAGCATTCTCAACCTTTTCTACCCCAAGGCCCACCTGTTTATAACTTGAGAATTAAGGCCTGAAAGAGATCAGATTGTCCATTCCGGTAGTCAGTAGATTTGCAAAATCTGCAGTTATGTTAAAGAAAATATAACATAAAACGTTAAAAAAGCATGCGCTATAGTAATATTAAAAAAGGGGGACAATGAAAAGAAAAAAAAAATGAAATGTACAATGTAGGTGCAAACTATGATCTGGAGCTGCAGTCCATCATATTTTCACTGAAAATACTCCATTGGCTTTCCCAAAAAGAGGAATCATTTGGTCTGTTTAGTTTGAGGGTTTTAGCACTTCATCTGAAATAGCCAAACCACACTAACTACACTCCACTTTTGGATTAGCGCTGTCACAATCAACAAAAATAACCAACCTTACTTTATATGTGCCTCTTTGTTGTTGGTTTATCAGTTTGAGTTTAACCACTCAGGTCGCTGATGCTGATTTTTAATTGTCAAGTTAATAATTTTTTTCCCTAATGCTTTTATGACATAAAGTGACGTTACTGGTCCACTACGAACTGCTGCCTCCCCCTAAGTACAGGCCCGTGGACTACTAGGGGGTGCTTCACGGCCCACTGGTGGTCTGCAGTTCACAGGTTGAGAAACCCCGTGCTAGGGTACATCGGTTGTATGCTACTTACTGCGGTGAATTGAGGGATTGTTTGAGTGCACTGGATCTTCCGCACTGTTTTCGGACACCACTACCAAATGGTGGAACCCCAAAATAGTGCACTATATAGTGGACAGAGCACAGTTTTGGACACAGCCTGTGGCAGGGGTGCGCAATCCTTGTAGTGGAGATCTACCACCCTGTAGAGTTTAGCTCCAACCTTAATCTAACACACCTTATCCAGGTAATGAAGGTCTTCAGGAGCATCTGACAATTAGAGCCAGGTGTGCTAAATCTGAATTCTCAAGGGTGGTAGATCTCCAGGACCAGGATTGAGCAACCCTGGTCTATGGCTTCTACGCCCACCTAATGCACTAAATGTTAGATAGAGAGTTGTGCAGCTAATGGTTGAATATAACTGGTTTTCTATTAATTTATGAAGCACTATTTAAGTGTAGAAGATGTTATCTCATACCTACATAGTGCACTACATACGGAGTAATGAGCTGTTTGAGATTCAGCCTTTGTGTTGGGCTGAAAAACTTAGAATTGAAGAATGGGAATAAAGGTGAAGGGGTGTGGCCTTTAATTACTTCTAACTGAAGACAACACGTGACGCAATTAGCCTTAATTATCAGCCACCAGGCCTGATTAGGAGGTCAGGCCTATATATGCAGCCAAAGCAGCACAGCCCTTCACACGTATAGCTTTTTCTTCCACATCAGTACCAACATCCACTACCAGAGAGTCGTGATGGCGGGTTCAGGGTTGCAGGTTCTTGGACTAGCTCTCGCGCTGATCGGATGGATCTGCGACATCACGACGTGCGCGCTGCCCATGTGGAAGGTGACCGCGTTCATCGGGCAGAACATCGTGACCGCGCAGACCTTCTGGGAGGGCCTGTGGATGAACTGCGTGCTGCAGAGCACGGGGCAGGCGCAGTGCAAGGTCTACGACTCCATGCTGGCGCTCCCCCGGGACCTCCAGGCCGCTCGCGCGCTTGTCATTATTTCCATCCTGCTCGCGCTTGTCGGGCTCGCGCTCGCGGTGGTCGGCGGCGACTGCACGAACTGCGTGGAAGACGACTCGGCCAAAGCGAAGGTGTCGGTGACGGCCGGTGTGTGCCTCGTGGTGGCGGGCGTGCTATGCCTCATCCCGGTGTCCTGGTCGGCCAACTCGGTCATCACGGACTTCTACAACCCGCAGGTGGCGGACGCGCAGAGGCGCGAGCTGGGGGCGTCTCTTTTCATCGGCTGGGGTGCCGCCGCCCTGCTGCTCCTCGGGGGCGCGCTGCTCTGCTGCCGCTGCCCCAAGGCTGAGTACCGCGGGTACTCTGCCAAATACACTGCGCCCAGGTCAGCCGCCAACAGCACTGGAGCTTATGTGTAGGCCTGAACCCCTCAGCCTGGATTGGAACTGACTCTCCTCCAGGGTGCTGTAGGAAGAGACTTGATTGACTAATGTATTTTAAATTATTTTACCTAATAAATTATGCTGTCTTGCATTGTCCTTACATTGCCCTGTCTTGAGTAATTTTATTATCTAGTTTCTCAGTTGTCAGTGTCCTCTAGGACAAGTTAGAGGAAATGACAGAACAATTTAGCTGCGTTTACAATACAGCATGGCATTTTTATTAGGAAAGTTATGGTCCTGCAGATGGTGTCAGCCTGTGCCCCGTGATTTGCTGGAGCACTGATCCCATAGGCTGGGGTTAATATCTACTTTTCATATTCTGTTAGTTTGCTTATTCACCTCTGCACTTGCAATAACGGTGTTGCAGTTGATCATCTTGGTTCAAAGTTGGAGTACCTGGGCCTGTCTTCATAAAGCTTAGTAAAACTTTGATCTAGAATCTATTAGGTCTTCACAAGAGAAGAATGTGATCCAAGATTAGTTATGTTAAATGTGGCGCTTGCTTTAGGTATACCGTCTTTTCTCAGGAAGGTCTAGTTTTAAGTATAGACTTGTGTGCTACACTTATAGTTCAAGGGTTCTTTAAAGAAAATGGTTGTGTATAGAACTCTCATGCTTAATTGGTCCTTCAGATTGGAGTGTTCTATGTGGACCCTTTTTTTGAAAGGTGGTACTAAGTGTTCTATTACAAGCTTGTCAAACAAAAAAACCCTTTTTGGTGCTATATAGAGCCACAACACTCCAATCTAAAGAACCATTTTAAGTATGAAATGGTTCTATATAGAACCATCTTAAGGGTCTAGGTTGTGCAGCCTTTTGTTGCTTATTTTGTCTGAACATAAGTGAAACATTTGCATTAATCTGCTCAGTGCCTGAAATAAATTGGAGGAAACATTGAAGCCAAACATTTTAGCAAACAAACTAGAAGTGATGGATTCATGGTCTGTTTTTAACAATTACACATTGTGAAAGTTATCACACTCATCTAACTCACCCAATCACTTGTAAGATTTTAATAAATTCAGTGTCAGATGAGAAACACTAATCTCTGCAGTGCAGTAACCCTCCAGGTCTCCTTAGTCTTCTGCAATGTTTTTTTAAAGCATCTATATAATGTTTATTTACATAAATCATAGTGTGAGCCAATATATTGCGTTTAAGTAAACCATTAAAAACCATACCCCATCCCTAAAACCCCTCTTCCAACCTGGGAAGGTGACATTACAGCACTCTAGAAAACTTGTGGGTTGCTCCTGTTAGGTGGAAGGCATGTTTCTTTCTAGTATTATTTTGGCCCATACATGTGTCGCCAGGGTGTTAATTATCTCCTCACTGTTTAGGATTACTGTTACTAGATTTCAGGCTGACTCAGTCATCTGGATAATATCATACATCAAAAAAACAAGATGGCACAAGTGCCTCAATGATTTCACATTTCATTCCATATTCTCATGGTTCATTCCATATATTCAGTTTCCAATCATTATATATAATTTCCTAAATGACATGCCATTTTATATATATATGTATATATATATATAGTTGTATATATTTCTACTCAAGAGGCTCTTGGGAAACTGGGGAAGTACTGTTATTGAAAAATGTAAATCTTAAGGTCAAACAGCATGAGCTATAAACTGCAGACTAGATAGGTACATATTAATTCTCATAAATTTTTATGAGCTCTTCGCTGGAAATATGGGAAGTGCATATTAAAAAAAATACCTTCCAAGGTGTATTTTCAGAATATCCATATTTAAATAAACTAATTGCAAAAAAAGTTGTTGCTCACACTAGTAAGTAATGGTATGTGTAGATAAAGCTCATTAATGAAAGTCAATGTAGTAAACATGCATGCTTCCCCTTGGCAGTCACCAGGAAACAACTCGCTGTCTGTGCAAACAAAAATTAAAGGGAGAATTTGAATTTGTTTTCCTACAGCACAGACAGGGTAAACTGCTCTTTGAATAGGCTACTGCTAACCCATCTTTGTGTAACACTGAGAGTAGAATTTTGATACCTGCCCTGTAGGTGAACAATGAAGTCTTTTCTTTCTGCTCTATTCCCACTCTCTCAGTGCTGCTCTTGCGTTCCCTCTTTCTAGTGCACACATACTTGCTTGCCCAAAACGTTCCTCTCTCTCTCTTATTTACACTTTTACACATTCTCTCTCTCTCTCTCTCTCTCTCTCTCTCTCTCTCTCTCTCTCTCTCTCTCTCACTCTCTCTCTGTCTCTCTCTCTCTCTCTCTCTCTCTCTCTCTCTCTCTCTCTCTCTCTGAGAACAAAGAATCAAGCCAAGCAGGAAATTTGACCTGAGTCCTAAAAAAAAAGGTAATCTCCACCCCTTCCTGCTCCATCGCTTTTCAAAACATCTGTGAGGTACACCACGGTGATTATTTTCTAGCAATTTGCACTGCTGTTTGAATTGATCTCATGCATCAATAATATGGTGAAAACTGAAGAACTTGGCTGACGTGTTTGTGGAAGATGGGCAGACAACTCTTGGCAGTCAGCCTGGCTATCATAGGCTTCCTGGGCACCATCCTAATATGTATTCTGCCCATGTGGAAAGTGTCGGCCTTCGTGGGAGCAAACATCGTGACAGCGCAGGTGTTCTGGGAAGGCTTGTGGATGGACTGTGTGATGCAGAGCACTGGGCAGATGCAATGTAAGGCATTTGACTCTGTTTTGGCTCTCTCTCAAGATCTCCAGGCCACTCGAGCCTTGATCTCAGTCTCAATCGCTGTTGGTGTAGTCAGCATTGGTTTAACAGTCGTCGGGGCCAGATGTACTAACTTCTACCGTGAGGACCGTCACGCCAAAGCCAAGATTGGAATACTAGCCGGGGTGGGCTACATCATTGCAGGGCTACTGTGTCTGATAGCTGTTAGCTGGTCAGCATACACCATCATTGTAGGCTTCTACAATCCTCTAGCTACAACAGTGAGTAGAGGAGAACTGGGGGCCTCTATCTATGTAGGATGGGTGGCTGGTTTCCTCCTCGTTCTGGGAGGCAGCATATTCATCAGCTCATACTCCAACAGCTGCTGATCATTTGAACAGAAGGATTTTCTTCAAGCTATGAAAGAAGTGGATGGAAATGCCCCCTCAACTTTTTGTAGGCCTAGCTGCTTTATGGACGTAGTGCTGGAAAATGTAAAGCGGCTTTATCATTTCACTGTTTCATTGAAGGGTACTAGAACAATAAACATAGTCATGTTCATATTGCAACATACTGAAATGAACTGAGGGTTTACAGAAAAGGACTGTTAGCTGTTTCTGTTTCAAGCAAAACAGCTGTAATAGCTTGTTGGACTTTCAACAGAATTATAATCATTTGTGTTGGAACATTATATTCGTTTATGTGGACTAAAGTGTTTTGGTGTTTTGTGGTAATAAATGAATGCCAGATTTGAAATGAATTAAATCAAAATTAAGAAAGGTGCATTGCTAGTGAGTGATTAAGAGCCAAATATTAGAGGCCTTAGTAAAACATATCCAAAGGGTAGTTGTGCTGGCTAGAAGGACACAATATAAATAAGTAGTGATTCAAACTAGCAATTTATTATAACTTACAAAGGTCTCACCAGATGCCAAATGCACTTTTGCAGTAAAGTGCAAAACAAATTTAATATTTTGTGAGATCAGCAGTTTTATCTGACTCTATATATACTCTTTATCACTGAAACAGCATGTAAATGTGGAGAAAGTAGGATTGTACAATAAAAATAATTACAGTAAGCAGACATTCATGTCATTATTTGGTATTTTAAAGTTCCTCAATTATTCAGTTAACATTAGGATACACTAAAGTATAACCAGTAGTATAGCTGACAAATTAGTCTGTATTACACTGACAACATAAAACACCTAACCCAGCTTTCCACACACAAACTAATCACAATCCTAAAAGACTGAAAAGACTAAAGCGAAAAGTTCTGCAATATATTATAAAGGGCTCATATCACATAAAACCCCAAATTTCCTTGATTTTTTCAAATAAAATAGTGCAAAATGGTACACAAAAACTGTTAATTCCATATAGTCCATATATGTAAACTAAGCAACAAAAACAAGTCATTTTGAATGAACTGTTTCTGTGATGTACATTTACATGTGTTTACATGTATTTACATATTTAGTCTACAGCAATTTAGTACCGCCCATTAACGCTGAAGTCATATGGAGTGTTTCAGCTTGTACTTTTTGAATGAGATGCAATGCAAGGTAGCCAATTAGAACACAGCTCATTTACATACATCAGTCTTAAAGGCAGAGTAGCAAAAACGGCCTTTTTAAATCTAAGGGATAAAGAGAAATCATGACTGTTTTGGTACATAAAACCACATAAATGTTTAAAAAGGACCTCAGGAGAGAAAAATTAAATGTAGGATATAGTCCCTTTGTATCAACATGAATTTTTGGTGAAGCTTGTTGACTTGTATTGTAACAGGGATAAAAGTAAAGAAAGGTCAATGTGTTGATGTGTTTTTTTTTTTTATGTGGGATCTCATCTGCCTACACAGAGGATGCATTTTAGTGAAAAGTGTAAATGGAATCCAGCCAAAGTTTATCTAGATACGATCCGGACATGAAGCACATGTTAAAGCAGGGTTAAATGGGCTCTTTAAGACTAAACTTGTTTTCCAATCCCAATATGCAGTTTATTATGAAACTTATTTTCCAATCACTATCTACAATATATTATAAATTACATATAAACTAAACATGTTTTTCAATCTCTGTTTAGTGTATAATTAGTCCACAGTTAGAATCTATGGTCGGAAACCGAACAGCAAAGAGAGTATTAGCTCTAATCCTGGGCTCTACCTAAATTATATTGTTAAATGAATGAGTGTTTAAACTGGACCTAAAGCTGCCTGATAAGGGGAAGAATGTTTGTAAACATCCCAAAAAGTTTGTACTTCTATGTAAAATAATCTGGCAAGTACTTCATAGCCAGAACACAGAGCCATGTCATGCCTTTATAGAGCTTTTGAAAAGTGCAGAACACTGACCATTTCAGAGCCGCAGCACCATCTGCTGAACAAAAACTCTCCTAGTCTGATTTGATTTGTAAACCCAGTTTCTATATTTCCTCAAGAACCATTAGCAAACTTAGTGCTAACGCCTACATTTCTCTCAGCAGACAACTTTGTGTGTTTATCGTAAACTTCCAAGCAATGTTGACATTTTACAAAACGAGTGAATGTGTATATGCCTGTGTGTGTGTATGTGTGCAAATAATGTAATTTTTCCATTGTCATCTGAAAAAGGACATGAGTTTTGCTTGACTTTTGGGTTGGTTGAGTTGCGATGACCTGGCAAAACATACAGTCTCCCCTGTCCAGCTTTACAACTAATTAACATCTATGTTCTATGTTCAAAGCGTTTCCTGAAGTCTATATATTAATTGTATTCACTGCATTGTGTTATTGTGAACAATATATCGTAATTGTTCCTAACTAGAACACAGTGAGTGCTTAAGTGCCAGTGAGCAATGAACAGTTATACTGGTTCCATCCATTATACAACAATTAAACCAGAGATTTAGAATACTGCATTGAATGTACTTGATTCAAATATGTGAGGGGAAGCAAGTATTCAGACATTTTTTTTTTTCAGTGCATGTATCTACAATCAACAAAAATGTATTCATAAACTTAATCAAAGATATGTTTAAAAAATGGTATTGATGAAAAATAAGTAATTTACTTAATAATATAAGTAATTAGCTTGTTGCAGCATTGTGGTTAAGTTTTGGCCTTTACCTCTTGGCAAATCTACAATTCCCAAGTTACAAGGGCCCCTCTGATCCCTCTGATGGACTCGCAATTTCAATATCTTCCATAAATTCTCAAGTCAGACGATTGGCAAGGTCACACAAACACCTTCACTTGTTTTAAAAGGCAACCAGCCTGTATGTTTGTGTAAGTTTCTTGTTGAAACGTCCATCTTCTTGGCTGAAGAGATTAAATTCTCTTCTAATTGCTCCATTCATGTGTCCTTTGATGATGTGTAATGCCCTAGCACTGTATATCATGATGCTCCCACCTCCGTACTTCACTGTGAGTATATTGTTTTTGAGATTGTACGTGCAGCCCTACTTTGTCCAAACGTGTCTGAATTATTGCCAAAGATTTCAAAGAGTTCAGTTTTTGTTTTGTCTGACCAGAGCACACTGAGCTTCATTCACCAACCGTTCTTTAGAAGAAATGTCTTCTTAAAACCCACTTATGCAATTTTCACTAAGCTTCGGACATTCACCAGTATTTTCATGTTGGGTATTTGTTCTCAGGTGAGAATACAATCTACACCACTCAAGAGCACAAAGGTGTGAACAATTCTGACGTAGACTTTTTCTTGAGACTTTTCTCAAGAACAAATTTAAGAAAAAACTTCAAATTATTACATCAAATTATTTTTTGAACATGTCTTTGTTTATGCTTATTATGAATACACACGTTTTTGTTATTTATAATGTTTATAGACAAATGTCTAAAAATCAAGCAAAAATGTCTGAATACTGTTGGCATTATTCATGTCATATATTTTATATATAGAGAAATCAAAATGTATTCATAAACTTAATCAAAGATATGTTTAAAAAATGATACTGATGAAAAATAAGTAATTTACTTAATAATATAAGTAATTAGCTCTATTTAGTTCTATTAGTTCTATTTATTTGTTGAGTTTAACATTCTGGAGAAAAAACATAAAAATATATAAAATGTGTCATAACTTTTGCACAGGCCACATTTTTCCCAATATGTTAAATTCAGTAAATAAACAGTAATTACGCTTTAAACGTGCAGACATTTGTTCTAAAGATGTGTTATTAATTTTTTACTTTTTGCTCAGTGCCGAAACGTTTGCGTATGACTGTAAATATGGGGTAAAGTTAAGGAAGCTTTGTTCTCTTGTTTGGAGCTTCCGGTGAGCCTTCTCAAAACTGGTTCGATTAACTTTTCTTAGAACATCTGTTGGTCAGCAACAAGAATCAAGTCCAACTGGATGAGCATAAAACTGGTTAAGTGACAAAGAAAAGTGCATGTCCTACATAGACTCCTCCCCCTCCTTTTTTATCTAAAGCATATAAGGTAAGTAAGCAAAAGTCACATTGCATACACTGAGAGAAGAACGGAGAAACATAACTTGGTTACTGCCGAAATTCCTCTTCTCAAAGCAAACGTGAAAATGGTGTCAAACAAGCGACAAATGTTGGGCCTCATTCTGGCACTGATTGGATTTGTGGGAACCATTGTTATTTGTGGTTTGCCAGCCTGGAAGGTGTCGGCTTTCATCGGGGCCAACATTGTAACTTTCCAGATCTTTTGGGAAGGCTTATGGATGAACTGTGTGGTTGATACTACAGGCCAGATGCAGTGTAAGGTTTATGACTCCCTCCTCGCTCTTCCTCAGGACCTACAAGCCGCTCGTGCCTTAGTGGTGATCGCACTAGTTGTTGGAATCTTTGGAATTGTCCTTGCAACCATTGGTGGGAAGTGCACCAACTTTGTAGAGGATGAGGGCTCTAAGGCTAAGGTTGCCATCGCTAGTGGCATCTTTTTCATCATCACAGGGCTTCTCGTTCTCATTCCAGTGTGCTGGACCACAGATGTCATCGTCAGGGATTTTTACAACCCGACCCTCACCGATGCCCAAAAGAGGGAACTGGGAGCTTGTATCTATATTGGTTGGGGATGTACTGCCATGCTCTTCCTGGGTGGAGGTCTTCTCTGCAGTTCATGCCCTCCAAAAGACGACACTCCTGGCAGTATCTACAATGTAAAATATTCTCAGCCTAGATCTGTGACCAGCGGCAAAGCTTATGTTTAAGAGGGATAATCAGTTAATGTTTGGTCATTTTGGTGGACTGGTAAATTGCTTAGGCAATGGACAATTTAATCAAAGATGTTTAATGACTGCCATATGTCTGTTAACCTTAAGTCTGTCACTGGTGAGTAAGCTGAAGAAAGCATGCTTTGAGTTAGAAAGACTAAGCGGTTATAGAAGATTGTACATTTATGTGGGCTTTTTTTTGGTTGGCCGAGAACGAATATACTCACAATATGGCAAAATCATTCAATTCGAAGCTATTTAATATAGATCTTGTGATATTTATTTACTTGGTAAATTACTAGGTTGCATCTTATTACATAATTACTAAAGATTCTTCACTTAATTACTGATGTCTTTAAAGATGCTTTGTGACTTCATATAAATGCACTGTAATTAGAAGTATTTTTTGTAAATTCTTTTTATTAAAACTGTTCATTTTTAAGCAAATGTTTCATTATATGTTAAAATGAAGTATGAAAAAGAGCTTTATCTTTATAGCTTTATAGTCTTCTCATATTAATAAATACTAAGACATGAACTGAATTGCACCTTTATGGCATAATCAGTAAATCATCATTTTCCAACTCATTGTTGTACCTTCTTTTTTTAAACTTCTATTTCAGAAATCAGTAGTGTGATTTTAAATGTTTCGTGTGACATAGCACACTTCATGTGGTCCCCTGTATATAACAATTAAACTTTTGGTGATAGTTAATTATCAACATTATGGTAAGAGTTAGATTTAGGAGTTGGTGTAAGTTTAGGGTTAAACTTAAGATTAGGCTTAGATTTAGGGTTAGGGTTAGATTTTATAGTATATATAACATTCAACTTAAAGTTCAGGGCCATTTAATTTATAAGACAGATGGAGTATCTACAAAGCATCTACAGAGGACTATCGAAATAAAGTCTTACCAAATTGTAATTCTCTGTAGAATTAATTGTTAACTGTTTATCCAGTTGACTGAGTCGGTTGGGTCAGTTTCAGCTACGTAATAAAACACAATCAGAGCAACTCGAGGACAAATTTAAACAAACAAGCTCCATTTGTGCAAGGCTTACTTAGCTAGCAGGTGGCAATTGACAATATCTAAATTAGGAGAAAAACTGGGTAAAAATCCAACAGCCCTTCCCCCCTCACTAGTAGCCACCCTGGCCCCAACTAACAGCTCATGGTCCACATTTATTGTCCACAAGTGAAACAAGAATCTGGTTTGGCTGGTAATGTGTAAGTTTAGACTGATGGAGGCATGGTTTGTGTAGAAGCATGCACCTCCTCTCTCATTCTTTTTCTCTTTAGCTTGGTATAAGTGCTTGATCAGCTAGTACCCACATGGATACTCTGCCTGTGACAGGAAAGGTGTGCTTGTGTGAGAGAACAGACGGAACTAAAGAAGATGCACAGTTTCAGTGACAGCTTGTGCCTGTGATAAGGAAAGAGAGAGAAAGATCGGTTCAGCAGAAAGGCGTCACTATACAAGGAAGGTATAAAAAGGCTTTAGGAAACTGTAGCTCAGTACAGCAGATAGGCAAAGCACCGTGCAAATAACTCTGAGGACACCTGCAGCTGTTTGCATACAGTGATCCAGAGAGAAATGGCTTCAATGCGCATGCAGATGTTGGGTAGTGTCCTTGCGCTGTTGGGCTGGGTGGGGGTTCTTCTGACCTGCATCATGCCAATGTGGCGAGTGACTGCCTTCGTAGGCATGACCATTGTCACCTCGGAGATCATGTGGGAGGGCATCTGGATGACCTGTATTGTACAGAGTACAGGTTATATTCAGTGCAAACCTTACGAATCCATGCTGGCACTCGGCACTGACCTGAAGGCTGCTCAGGTCCTCACAGTGGGATCCTTCCTGACTGGCGGACTGGGCCTCATCCTGGCCTTCATTGGAGGAAAGTGCACTCGCTTTCTAGACTACAGTGGTATGGCAAGAAAAGACAGAGTTGCCACTGCTGCTGGTGTCACACTGATCGTTGCTGGTCTGCTGTGCCTGATTCCTGTCTCCTGGTCTGCTATTGCTGTGGTCCAGGCATTCTACAACCCTCAGATGACCGATGCCCAGCGCAGGGAGATAGGAGCAGCTATCTACATCGGCTGTGGTGCTTCCATCCTGCTGTTCCTGGGCGGGGGCATGCTCTGTAGCACTTCTTGTGATGTAAAAGCAGAGGATGAGAGCCCTTCAGTCAAGTACGTGATTGTACGCTCATCCCGTGCTGGATCTAGCAACGGAAGTTCACAGCGAGGCAGGATCACCAAGCTGGCACAGAATAGAGCACCATCTGTGAGGTCTCAGTGGAGTAATGGAGAATCAGCCAATCAAAAGCAAGACAGACCAGCTTCTGCAGGATCCAAGCAGAGTAGGGCGTCAACCACAAAATCACAGCTTGATACAGCAGAGTCTGAGAAGAGTGAGGGGCCATTAACAAAGTCCCAGATGATTCACACAGACTCTGATCAAAGCCAGGCAACTTCTCACTTAAGTGAGTCAGCTTCAGCAAATCCCGAAAAGACTTACATCTGAGCTAAAACACCTTTAAAGTCATAACGTGTCTTAGGATGGATCTTGGACTATTCCAGATGAGGGAATAATTATTCACTTGGACATTCATTCTAACAAAGCACTGTCAATTAATATATAAAACAGAAGGAATTCCACAACTGGAGTCAAGAAACAGCAGTACTAGAGAGTAATGTCTCTATGATTTACATGGCAGTGAGCCCTTTGGAAGAATCTGTCAAGCCACTAAGAAAGACAATTTAACAGTCACAGTTGAACAGTCCAGTGGAAAAGGCACTTAAAAAAAAAACAAGCTTATATAATCCAGCTGAAATAAATACCTGATAATAGCAAGCCTAACATTCAGCTCAGAGATGGACATGTTTTATTAAATGGATTACCTTTAATAGGCTAAAACGTTGAACAGATTTAGGTCAAGTAACAATTTGCAAAATAATATAACACTTAGCTTATTTAGACAACATTTCAGGGTGATATGTTTCTTGATGCATAGCAGGCAAATACTGTGAGTGTTGTCTGTGTCATAAAATGTATATATAATTGTAGAAAAGCATCTGTATATGTAATAGTTTTTGTTTTGAATTAAGCTCACATATTGACACATAGCTTTGAATTAAGCTCACTTATAGACACAACTTAGACTACTGTGAGATAAAACACTAATTTTCTGCCTTTACAGACCAAAATGCTGACTCTGAAATGGAAAAAGAGCTCTCGCTATGGCCACTAGCTACTTCCAAGCTAAGTTAAGATAGACAATGTTTGGACTGTAAAGCCCCTTTGTCTTCTTCCTCCTCTATTATCGGTTCATGATAAATTGGGCCCCAGGAGTGAAAGAGTGTCCCAGGCCAAACCGGTTCAACAGAGAGTGAACCTGCGGAAGTGGTTTGCGTTTCGTGAGGACTTTGAGTATTCAAAAAGATTCAAAAAGAGTTTCACTGCATCAGATGTTTACTTTGTGAACATTGGCACACAATGTTTTCATAGTACTGTGTGTTTCAATATTCACAGCTCAATACAATCATCTGTGAAGATGTTTGATCTTTACTGTCTGAACACATTACAAATAAAATACTCTTTTTAAAAAATAAAGTTGTACTTTTTAGCTCTTTGTTTGATCTTGTTCCATCATCCAAAATACTACTTTTGTTAAGCAGGTTCTGAAACAGGGATTGAGAACTTTTTGCCTTTTGTTTTTTGAACACATTTTTAACAATTTCAAGAGGGAGAACAAGATACTGTTTTGAACTGTTGAAAAATGCACCCACATGTAGAAGAAAGAGATAAAAGATAATGTATTCAGCTAAAATCTTTCCTGTGCAGAAAGCTCTACTACCACAGTAGGTGCTTTTTAAAACCAGTTTTTGTTACAATAAGCGTCTTACAAAAAGAATTTTTTGGGGGAAGGCTTACTGTGGCTTTCTCCAGATATAAGTTCATTCAGATGTAGAAAACAGTAGCTTGGCAGATCTAATTATCTCTGCTTTGTACTTCCTCAAACATCACATTCCTTATTTGACTAAAATCATTATGGTTGACTGATTTAGAATCAGTAAAAGCAGCATGACTGACAAACAAAACCCTCATCAAAAACTACATTTTTTTGTAGTCGCTCCCATCTAGTGGTGGGAAAAAGCCTACCAACCTACAGTTTTGTTGACTCTGTCAAAGAGGCTATTGACCTCTTTCTTTGTGAATGCTGGTTTAAAACCTTGTACACCTAATGTTTTGCAGGCAGAAGAGCGCATATTTTCTAAATATTTCAACATGCATTAATTGATTGAAATGGAAATACAGCTGCCGGACAAATTCATGGAAACATCAGTCAATATATGGAGAAACAAATACTGATAAGCCTTTCGGTTTTACATCACATTTCATATTTCTAGTCAGATAGTCAGAATGTTTGAGAAGAATAGGCCCACTATCATATTAATCTGGGAGCAAGCAATGTAGGCTGAGGACTCCTTTTAGCTTCTTCAGAAGAAAAATGCACCAGATGCAAAAGAAAATAAAAGATTACTTATTCAGCTAAAATACTTCCTGTGCAAAAAGCCTTACCACCACATTATGTGCTTTTTAAAACTCACTTTTGTTACAATAACAGTTTTATAGTAAGTCCAGGGCTTATTATAAATGCCATCAATGGGAAGCTATGATTTAAAATTAATTCTGTGCTCATTTAGACAATCATGAAAGTTGTTTTCACCTGTCCCGGTTATTAGCTCAACTTGACTTCTAGCCTGTTCCTACTTTCTTTGTAAGAGGCAGTTAGAATCTTGCAAACCGTCTCTACCAACACTTCCAACACTCAAAATATTTTATCAAAGAAAACATAATTATATTACCATTGAATTATTACCAGATGCTTTCAACAGAATTTTAATTCATGCAAAACATCCTTGGCATTGCAAGAATGAAAAAAAAAACTACAATTAAGTATGTAAAGTTTTGTAGCACTGCTGTTATTTGGACATCCCAGTGTTTGCCCACTTTTCTGCTTTTAAACCAATTCCTCTGCAGAACTCTTCTGAAACTGGGGACTCTTTAATAAGTTCTCTGATACAGATAGACAGTTCCTGGTATATACCCACTCTCATGTTCAGACACAGCCCTTTCCCACTTCTCCACTTCATTGACAGTTACACGACTCCACCTCTTTTCTTCCTCCATCATTCTCACCATGCGTTCCATCTCTTTCTTGTAATCTTGATTATCTGCATTCCCTCTTGTAGTCATGCATACGTAACCTCCTGTCACGAGGAGAAATGCATTTTAAGAAACTCAGAGCATGACATCATTCACGCACTTGTAGATACTTAAATGCATGGTATACATGCAATGTCTGAGATACTTTATTAAACAGTTTAAGTGCAACATTACCTGAGGATAGGCTTAGTGTGGACTCACCTGGCTTTGTGGCCTGCCAGAGCTCCCTGATGACTCCCACTGGCACCTGACCAACACTCAGAGCTCCGACGATTACAACAATGTCATATGACTCTGAAACAAATGAATTTAATTTTAAAAACTGCCAGTTATCTACAACAATGTGCATACATTTACATGGATAATTTCTTCAGGTGCTTTTAGGTGAATCTTATATCACTGCCACATTTTAACACATGGTTACTGTTTATTTGCTGAATTTAACATGCTGGAAAAAATCAATCATAAAATTTGGCCTGTAGAAAGGCTGGGACACATCTTATGTGTTTTATTTTTACCAATATGTTACACTGTTTACTGTACAGGATTTGTTAACTTATTTTTTTAGAAAATCAATTAGAAAATCACTGGTCACTGTACTTTGACCAGGGGTGCCAAACCTCTGCATATTACTATATATAGTTATATCTACAATAATACATGTACAGTGCAGGATAAATGAATTACCAACATTCCAATAGTGTAACTGGGATATTGTTAATTCCAAATAAAGACTAAGTAAAGAAAAAACATGTTATCACCATTTTGCACTGGCAAGGTGTCCTGTCCCAGCATGCACTGCTTAAGCTCCTGATAGAGTCCCGTTTTCCTGGCCAGATCCAACATTCCCTCACTTCCATCCACTCCAACAAACTGACAGAACCCCATTCTCCTCAGCTTCAGCAAAGACACCATCAGAAGGAATACTTTCTGTTAGCTTGGATATTGTGTACGTGAAATTAATAAAAATAAAAGCCCTAACTTATAATTACCTAAAAGCTTTTATCTAAATAATTATCTAAAAAGTTGTGCTTACATGTGCAGAGACCAACCCTGTCCCACAAGCCACATCCAAAATAATAGCTCTTCCTTTATCACCCTTGAAGAATGAAGCGATGCATTCTGCAGCCAAAAGAGGAGCACGGTAGTCCAACACTGCCACATCCTTTAAAAGCAATTTCAAGCAGCTGTAATGATGAACATCCCAAATCTTGTGCTATTGATGCACCTTTATCTGAGTTACCTGTTCATAGTTCTCAGCCCAGGTGTTGTAGAACCCAAGCTTATCCTCCGGCGCAGCGTTTTTATGAGCTGAAAGAATTTTATTCTTTACTTCTGCAAAGCTTTTGTTGTCTGCCATTACTGTGAGAAAAACAAGAATATACTTCAATCAGCCAAAACATTTAAAATCACTTCTTTGTTTCTACACTCATTGCCCATTTCACCAGCAGAGAAACGGACTAAGTAAGTGGAGCTGATAAAATGGGCAAACAGTGTAGATACAAGAAGGTATTTTTAATGTTATGACTGATCTGGGTAAATGATTTTCTTCTTTAAAGAAACAGAAGAAGAATGAACACTGACGTCAGAGACTAAGAACGCCTTCTCAGACTCTTTATCAGTTAAAATGAAATTTCCATTGTAATACTACCTTTCAAAGACATTTAGTAAGAAAAATGGGGTATTTTATGAAAAAAAGTAAAAAAAAAAAAAAAAAAACAACGGTTTCAAAAACCTTAAACCTACTTTTCTGTCTTTTTGGACATCGGAACCCCGAGACAAAACAGATCGCTCGCCGGTCCAAAAGTCACCTCAGCTACTGAAGTCCCCGTTATTCCCTCTTTGACCTGTAGAGCGCTCTAACATTAAGTTAGCTATCTTGCTAACTGTTTAGCCAAACAAGTTAAATCACGGCGATACGTAAAATAGCCACCCAAATGCCTTTGTTTTTACCGATATGATACCAGCAAGCGTAATTTCTGACACTTATGTTTACCTGCCATTTATTTATGGTTATTTAATGTAGCGGGAAAGGCAAAAGGCAGACCTCTGGTTGAATAACAACAGATACTTCGGGAGCAGACTCCAGCTTTCATTGTTGTCTTTTTGAGCTTTTTGAGGAGAGACTGGAAACTTTACTCTGGTGATTTGGTCTGGTTAAACATCAACTGGAGGACTGAGGTAACTTAGTTATCTTCCATAATTGTCCAGGAACTGCTGAAGTTCATTGTCTTTAACAAAACTTACAAAAAGTCGACTGGCTAGCATCGCAAGCTAGTTGGCTGCTCTAAATGGTTATCGACTAGCTTATGTTGATATCAACTACCTAACCTAGCTAGGTTGGTTAACATTAGTTTACAGGCGCTTTTCCGGACTTTCAGATTTTAGTGCGGAGAGAAAAATAAGAAGCTCTAATATGTGGCCTGTCTGTTAGTTTATATGTGCCACTTGACATTTACAGTGTACTGCTAGCTGTTTGCTAATATGCTGAGCAGTAAATAGTGTCTGCTGAGGTAGCAAGCTGGCTAAGGCAGAGTTTAGCTAGGAAGCAAACGTAGCGTTAACTCATCTACCTACCTACCTAGCTAGTAGTTTCATAAAATTGTCAGCTAGCTAGCTACTATAGATGGAGATTTCATTAGCTAGCTAGCTAAAGATCTAAAGAGACTAACTTACAGGACCAACGCTGTAATGTAATAAAATGTATTGTAGGTTGTACAGCAGTTATGCAAGGAATTGAACATACCCGTGATTCCTGTGGTTGTCTTATCGTTTAGAGTTATTTATTCATCTGAAGCTATGAAATGGTCATATTGTCTAGCCGTACGTTAAATGCAACGAGTAGGTCAGTTGCACATGGGGAGAGTGCTTTTGCACAAGCTTGAAAAAAGCTTATTTTTATGATATTTTACTCGATTGTATGTAATAGTATTTGTTGCCTGATGGTGGAGTGCTTATTCAATCTACAGAAAGCTGATTGTTTTATATCTGTTTAGGTTCATTTAAAGCTCAAAATGTCGATTTTGGGGCTTAAAAAGAAACAACCTAAGACTTTCAAAGTCAAAGTCATTACAATGGATGCTGAAATGGAGTTCAGTTGTGAGGTAATTATTAATAATACCATTATTACTGTTATTCCTTTTGAACTCATACCATCTCCATCCTTCATTTTATCAAGGCTTTTTACAAATAAAATAAAAGTTCACATAGTCAACTGATTGTCATACCTGATAGTCAATTGTTATTAACAGGTGAAATGGAAAGGAAAGGACTTGTTTGATTTAGTGTGCCGGACGATCGGTCTAAGGGAAACTTGGTTCTTCGGACTTAGATACACCGTGAAAGACACTCATGCTTGGCTTAAGCCTGACAAACGGGTAAGTGTAGTATTGATAGCTCTACTTAAATTATATGAACTTAATTTTGTTACTCAGGCTTTTACTAGACACGTAGTCAGAACATCCTAGGCTATATTGTAATATAGTGGTTTTAGCAAATAATTGCATCAAATCAAATTACATTTACATAGTTGTGAAGATGAGTGGAAATATTGGTGTGTAGCCCCCTTGTAGTACCTAAATATAAAATATGTATGTGTATATGTACAAAAACACATTAGACTTTAAATATACACATTAATATACACCAGTATTGGACCATTTCTAATGTACTGTTTTTGTAACAGTAATACAGGTTCTGAAATAAAAGCTATGACATGTGTAGCTGTACACATTTCCATATAGGCAGTTAGTGAGTCTGAGGTAGATAAATTAAATGCAGGGTACATGGCAGTAGAATGGCAAAGTTTTTAATTAATTTTGCTAAAGAAGCCATTAATTTGACTTCTTGTTCTTTCCTTCTGCCTAGGTTTTGGATCAAGAAGTTCCAAAGGACTCTCCTATAACATTTCATTTTCTTGCCAAATTCTTCCCTGAAAAAGTGGAGGAGGAGCTTGTTCAGGAAATCACTCAGCACCTGTTTTTCTTACAAGTGAGGGGGAGTTGGATAAATGGATATTATTCTGCTGTTTTTTGTGTTTACTGTTGGTATTAATCTTTTGTTCTCTATGCCTCTGCATGCATGAATGTTGTTTTCTCCTAATACTGTCCTCAGTGTTTTGAAATAATGTTTCACAGTGTTCTTTGTCTCATCAAGGTAAAGAAACAGATACTAGATGAAGAGATATTTTGCTCTCCAGAGGCCTCAGTCCTTCTGGCATCATATGCTGTTCAAGCCAAGGTCAGTTTCCATAATGCAGTGATAAAAATAGCTCTACTCTGACTTACTGTCACTCATTGTCACACTATGAATCAGTCCCACTGTTCAACAGTTCTAACAGCTTCAGTTTGTGCCCTTCTTCTGCATACTTGTTCTTATGCAGTATGGGGATTATGACCCAAACTTCCACAAGCCAGGCTTCTTGGCCCAAGATGAACTCTTGCCTAAAAGAGTAAGTAATTGTGGGTTTATTTAAAGAAACTGAACTGCAGAATTTAATTGTGCTGGTACCTCTGCATTGTTGCAAATTTGCAAATCTGTTCGATCTTTCTGGGCCTCTCCCTCCAGGTGCTGATGCAGTATCAGATGACACCAGAGATGTGGGAGGAGAAGATCACAGCTTGGTATGCTGAACACAGAAACATAGCAAGGTAAAGCAGCCTATCTGGATTGTTAGGCTGTATCTTAATTGACCATACATTCACACCCACCGCTCTGACTCACATAATTAAGCTTTTAGTGTGGTACCCTCATACTGAGTGCTTTTGCAATTTTGTCTTCAGGGATGAAGCTGAAATGGAGTATCTGAAAATAGCACAGGATCTTGACATGTATGGGGTTAGCTATTTCCCCATCACAGTAAGTCAGTAAACTTTCTCAATGCTGTCTGTCATTTCACTGTTGTTTTGAATATATTCATGGTAATGGTAACCTATAAGTTTATTATAATTTAAGGTTGTTCAATTCGCTCTGATGTTGTCTAGCAAAATAAAAGAGATAAGGAGCTCCTTCTTGGCGTCGATGCACAGGGACTTCACATCTACAGCCCAAACAGCAAACTGAACCCAAACAAGTCTTTCCCCTGGAGTGGCATCCGCAACATCTCCTACAGTGAGAAAGAGGTGTCAAAACATCAAAACATTTTAAAAATGTGAATTTCAAACCTTTTCTCCTGCAAAGCAGCATCCCTAATGCAGCTAATTTAACTTGATAAGTGACCAGTTAACTTTTGTTTCTTTAAAGCTGACAAGTAAAAGGAAACGCACCTATAGTTTAAAAAGTTTGTAGCTGTATGTGCATTCCTTGAAAATCCCAGTGTAGCTATCTATGATATTCTGTGTCTCTCACACAAAAATCTCATTCATGTGTTCTGTTAATAGTTTACTATTAAGCCATTGGACAAAAAGAAGGACGTATTTAAATTCTACTCCTCACAACTCCGAGTCAATAAGCTGGTAAGTTAGTATTCCTTTAACACATCATGTCTTCCTGTATTTCACAGTGGTTTTACTGTGTGTATACAGTGGTCTTGAGTTGGCTAATCTCTTTGCATTAGATTTTACAGCTTTGCATTGGAAACCATGATCTTTTCATGAGGAGGAGGAAAGTGGACTCCATTGAGGTGCAGCAGATGAAGGCTCAGGCCAAAGAGGAGAAAGCCAGGAAAAAGGTCTGCTTTAAAAAATATCAAAGCTTACATCTTGAGCTTTGTTTTTTACCCTGCTTATTTGATTAAAATCTGATTAGTGTCTTTTGATAAATCACTTGTCATGTACATTTTCCTTTGGGGTGTGCGTTGTTTCAGATGGAACGTCAGATACTGGCACGGGAAAAGCAGTTGAGAGAGGATGCAGAACGGGCTAAAGAGGAGATGGAACGCCGTCTATTTCAGCTGCAGGACGAGGCTCGTATGGCTAATGAGGCATTGGTGAGACACTTTGCAGCTAGGGAAAAGAATCATACTTAATTGCACTGCTGCTTTATCTGTGTAAAAATCTATATATATATATATATATATATATATATATATATATATATATATATGTGTGAGTACATCAGAGGTAACTCACTGTCTGTATCTCTAGCTGCGTTCTGAGGAAACAGCCGACCTGCTGGCAGAAAAGGCTCAGATTGCAGAGGAAGAGGCCAAGCTGCTGGCTCACAAAGCAGCAGAGGCTGAGCAGGAGAGACAGAGGCTGGAGGTTACAGCCCTCAAGACCAAAGAGGAGCACAGACTGATGGAGCAGAAAATGAGGGAGGCAGAGCAGCTGGCTGTGAAACTGGTGGAGCAGTCAGAGAGGAGGTTTGAATTCAGAATGTCCTCGGAAATTGGCGTCTATCTGACACAGGGGGTGCGTGGCTGTGAATGACAGTTTGTCTGAGTTATGTTTTGTTTCTTTCAGGTCTAAGGAGGCAGACCACCTAAAACAGGACCTGAACGAGGCCAAAGATGCAGAACGCAGAGCCAAGCAAAAGCTCCTTGAGATCACCAAAACAACATACCCAGTAAAGCTGACATTCACACAATCATTAGATTAGATTTTTTTTTTTTTATTGAAGTATTCCCAGTGATCCAAATGTTACAGTCAAGTAGGGGTGCAGATCTCTGATCTTACAACACTCCAATTTAATTATATTTCTTTGGGAACTATTTACATGAGAGTGGAATGTAAGAAGAATACACCAATAGAATTTTATTTTGACCAATAATGAGTGCATACCTTATTGAATATTATTTTAACTGAGCTGAGGCAGTTAAATTGCCACTTTTACACTATTTAGAAAATGCTGTAAATTGAAATGTCACTGTGTTGTGTTCAGTTGATAGCTGCATACTCCAGCCCCCCTCCACCACCTGGTCCTGAAAATATGGAAATGCAGCTTGAGATGGCAACCTCACATCGGCTGGACTTCAAAGACCCTGACATGAAGAGATTGTCCATGGAGATAGAACGTGAACGGTATATTTTTGCTGTTATGTGATATGTAATATGTTTCGTAATATGTTTTGCAGTTCACTCGAAATTCACATCCCTTGTGTCTTATGTTGGCTTGCTTTTGGTAAAGGTTTGGCATGAGATTGTTGCAGACGTAGAGTTATCATTTATTTGTGATAAATAATATAGCTGTTGGCTTGAGACTCTGCTAATACTGGATTGTCACATACATGCTGTATATATGAGATGAAGTGAGTGGGTGTGCATGCCTTTGTGTGCCTCAGACTGGAGTACATGGAAAAGAGCAAGCACCTGCAGGATCAGCTGAAGGAACTGAAGTCTGAGATTGAGTCTCTGAAGCTGGAGGAGCAGCAGCAGGCAGGCATCTACAGCCTGAGGGGCTATGCTGAGCCTCCCTACATTCCCCACAGCAATGTAAGAGACACATAACACATAAGACTGCACAACCAAAAGGTTTCATTACAAATGATGTCTCAGAGGGTCCAGTCAAATTAAGAGGGATTCTGTGCAAATGGTATCATCTGTTTTTATCCATCAGAAAACACCCTTGAATCAGTTTCATTTTTCTTGTAAATCTGGTTGGACTGGTTTTCTGTTTTAAGAAAAGTTATCGCAATATCCTGAAGTGGCTGATCACCATGTGAATTTATCTCTAAATAGTGAAGAGCTATTACTATTGTTTTGCTCTACTCTTATGTCCTACTGCATAATTACACTTGATTCCATGGTAATTACATTCTATTTCCAACATTTTTCCATTTGTTTCGTTGTCAAGCAGTGCAGCACTGTGATGAAAATATACAAGATGTTTTCTCTTAATGCAAATAAAACTGTATGCACAGGTATTAAATTCACATTATAAAATATTCTCTCATCTACTTAGAGAGAAAACACAAATTTGGTATAGTTTGAAAGTTTAGACCCTGCACTTTAAACAGAATTTCTCCACTTGCTTCAGTGAACTTAATTATTAATTAATTAATATTGTGTTATGCTGTTCGTTTATTATTGCTAGAAGTAGAAGATAGAAATAGAAAGAGTTTCTGTCTCTACATATTTGGGGCTTCTTACACCCATTCAGTGACAGACTACTGAATTCATAATTACTGTAGTACTGTATCGGACGTCACGTGCATACAGAACATAATATGCTTGGGTTAAATCCTTCAGAGTAAGGTGGCTATTTTCACATTTAGTTTTGACAGCAGCTCTTAAAGGAATGGTTCTGCAAAAAATTTAATTTGCACAGTTTTCCACTTTCCCTAGTTGTATGCGAATGGCCGAGACATGGCTGAAGTCCAGATTTTGCTCCTTTAGTTAGAACTGGAGTGGAGAAACACTAAAACTCAGTCACCAAGATGGCCCAAATAATTTCTGTAAAAAAGCATTACCAAAACTTTCAACCCACTCAAACATATTCAGGCCCTCATTACCATCACACAGACTTGCGAGTATGGTCTAAGACAGTGGTTCCCAACCCATTCCTCTGGGCCCCCAACATGATCTACATTTTAGTTCATCCTTCTATGTTGCAAGATGGGTTGGAGCAAAAATGCGGACCATATGGCAGACCAGGTTGGCTACCATTGGTTTAAGACACATGATGACTATATAATATAATATAATATAATATATAATAAAACAAACAAAATTGTGGGCAGCCACTTTAGATAACAGAGGCTGTATTCTCATACCACGTTAGAATTAGGAATGCTGATCTGAAATAAGTATTTGTGACACTAACTGTCAAATGGTTGCCTGTATGTAGCTGGGGAGTTTGTTGATTTTTATAGCTCACACTAAGTCATACTGTGTTTTAAACCACTTCAACACAAGTCAAAACAACCTTAATAAACCTGTATTGGTGATGCATTTTTACAAAATGTTTTGGTCTATTTGGGTGACTTGAGTTCTAGTGTTGGTTAGCAACATTTGCCTTGTAGTTCCAGTAAATGTGGGCAAAACGTTGGCTGCAGACATGTCTTGGCTGTTTGTCTAATTTGATTTTTTGCTGAACTGTTCCTTTAAGAACTGGTTAAATAAATTAGGGGTTAAAGGAAACATCTGTTTTCAGTTTGTGTCATTATGGAATATCACTAGAGACTATAACAATGTACATTTGGTCTTTTGCAGCGGAACTCTGCCTACATGGCTCAGATGGCCTTCTTTGAGGAGGTGTGAATGGACAGAAATACTACTGTATAAGGGGAAGGAGGGAGCAAGAGAAATCATCACTACAGTGTGACGCATTCACCAGAGCATGTAACCCAACAATGTCCAGCACACACCCTTGCACAAAAAGCTTTGGAATTAAGTGCTAAGTGCTATTAATATGTTATGGATAGGTATAACAATAGAAACGAATCTTATGCACAGATCAAAACAAGTTTTAATGTAGCCACCAACAGCTTGTGCCTTTAAGCATTTCTTACAGGTTTGCAATGCCAAAAATATTATGTCTGTAAGGCTGGTAGAGTTGCTTAGATATGTTGAAAAAAGGGATGGATTTGAAATATCTAGAAACAGAATTCAAAATTTTGACTTAAGCTTAGCCTTTGGTACATTACGTTTAGCCCGATTTGAACCCCTATTTGCCCCTTCAGACAAATTTTCACAATCTGAAGCGATTTCCCAGGTCAGGAGCTTGATCAGAAGCGATTTAGAGCATGAATGATCGGATAGTGTTAGAGGGGACACAAGTCCATCTTTAGCCTCTGCCTCATTCATATTTAAATTAGCACAGGGTTCATATCTAAATTACTGCCAGGTGTTTACCTTAATTGGTGCATTTCAAATAATTTTCAGCGTCTGTAATTTTCATTATAGAATTTGTTTTAGTACTTGATATGTTTTTTGTTTTTTTTTTCTTTTCTCCAACCAAACGTTTTTTTTGTTGTCCTACACTAGTGCCCTTTATCATGTCCATGGCTGAGAATGGGATGCATGTATGACATCGAAGCCTATGTACTGTTTGTGATTAAAGTCCAAGCATTTTACTGTGATGGCGTAAAATGCACAGTGTATTCCTGGTATAACACTGCTCAGTGAACAGTCCTGATGCACTACCATTTTGGCAGCTCAGATCCTGCTTTACTGTCCATATTCCTCACTCAGTGGGCATGTAAACCGGCACTCTATGCCTGTTTGCAGGAAAGGAAAAACATATGCCAATATACATTAGCATACTGTTGTACTTTGTGAGATAACTTTGCCTTTTAAACCTTTTATGAATTTTAGACCCTTAGAGTACTTCTTTATGGTTTTATTTTTCCTGTTCACTGCTGTGGATAAGTCTGATCTGACATAACCGAGCTGTCTGGCCCAGTTGTAAGTGTGTTTAATAGAGACTGTCTTTGATGCTCTAGCTGGCAACTATATTTATATTTTAGCATACTGTTGGTGTGGAGTTTAGTAGAACAGTTCAGATATTGTTTTAATTGTTTTGTTTTGTTGTTTTGCTTTAACTGGTTAGCCATGCAAAAATCCCCAAGCACACCAAGAGATAAATTAGAGAGAAACTCACAGGGCTTCAATATTCCAAACACTAAGTGTGCTCATGTATTTTGGAATATAAGCGCACCCCCAACAATGTTTCACCCAATTATAAGGCAGTTGTATATTTCAACAGTTTAAACTGTTCTGTCTCCAGAATGTGTCATGAAGTGTGAAGTGAGGTAGTCTTGTATTTCCACTTGTAAAGGGATAGTAGTTTTAATTCTGTTTGAATGTGTCGATCATGTAAAGCAGTGACCACGTTTACATGTGTAATATTCTCAGAATAATGATGTTTATTCTGGTTAAGATTGGTTTGTTTGTTTGTTTTTAATGAGACATTTTGTTTGAGTCCTTAACTCAAGTATTCTTTTTTTATTACGTGGTTAACTGAAAATTATGCCTAATATCTGTCACATAGCAAATAGAGCTAACCCCCCCCCCACATGATTATGATTATTGACAGGTAAAAAATTTGCTGATCTTGATGATGTATTTGAATTAGCAGCACCTTGCAAATTCACTGTTCTTACAAGTGGTAAGATTTTTACATACTTTCAATTTCAAAATGTTAAACGCTAAATATCATTCATTCTTTTATTGTTTTTCTGTGGTGTTTACATGGGCAGCATGGAGTTGGTATTTAATGTGATGGTGTAAATGTGGTCATAAATTAGAGTGACAGGGGATGTTTAATGTTTAGTATTCACACAGCCTATTGGCTATTTCCAAAGTAAGAAAACTGTTCAGATTTGGACAATTCTTCATTATTAACACTTTTTGTTGCATAATTATCATGATGTCTTAGTGTTTAGTGAGAAACATTCCTGTGTTAATAGTAGATTACCATATGCACGCTATGCACACTATCTTTAGATGTCTTAAGAACATTTTACAGCAGAAGGCAACTATTCATGTTTTAATGAAATGTGCCAATCTCTGGCCTTGTACCAAATGCTAATTATCATTACGCATACCACCAAGTTCTTTTGTTTGCTGCTCACTAAGTGCCTTATTTTGGGGGAAATATCAACATATTTTAACCTCTTGAACACTAAAAGTGCTTCTGGAGATTGAAAGACACTCCATGTAAGTCTTTGTCAGAAGTGAGTTACAGTATTATGGCTTTTTGTTTGGAACTTGAGCTACAGTTACACTTACTGACATGGAGACCTCTTATGCATTGTGACATATAAACTAATTTGCTAATAAAAAGGCAACTTTTTGCAATTACTTTGCATGTCTGAATGGTTACCTGTTGGTCTATACCAGGGGTGAGAACCCTTAATCTCATACAATGCATGTGCAGAAGTGTCCAGATACTCCTTCTAATTAGTGAATTCAGCTACATTTCTGACAGGTGTTCAATTTCACACACATAGAGCATATAAAATCTCCATAGAAAACCGTTGGTAATAGAACGGGATGCTCTGGAACAGCAACACATGAGCCTAAAGTCACTATGCCCACTGCCAAGTGTCAGCTAAAGGGGTATAAAGCCCCCCAGCAGTGAGCTGTGGAGCAGTAGAACTGCATTCTCTGGAGTGATGCCGCTTCATCCAGTACCTTTTGGATGATTTGGAGTGGTGTTTGTGGTTCAGAGCTAACCGCTCCACATCAGTAGCTGACCTCACTAATGCTCTTCTGGCAGTCGAATCATTACAGCAGTGTTCAGAAGCAGAGTAGAAGCTGTTACTGCAGCAAAATGGGGACAAACTCCCTATTAATACCTGTGGTTTTAGAATAAATGTTGGATAAGCAGATGTCTTAAAACTTTTACACATACAGTGTACTTCAGTCTTTCTTCAGAGCAAGAGTTTCCCAAACTTTTTGTCTTGGGGAGCCAGAGTGCAATGTTTGTGGTGGGTTCAGAGCCAAAAAGACAAAATGATATCCAAATGACGAAAGTGGTTAGGTTTCAAACTGAGCTTTTAAAAATCTATTTTACTCTATATTTTGTTAATAAGATAAAATGCCATTTTAAAATGAAAATAAGAATTATATAATAAGTTATATGCAGTGTAAAAATGTCTCCTTAGGAGTGGACAAATCAAATGGCTGACTTTGGCATGTGGACCACATTGTGTGCCCTGCTGCTTTGGGTTTAACTCAAGCCAAACTAAACATATGTCTCCATTATTCAGATCTTCCTGAATACCATAATTAACATTCTAAACTTAACTCTTTAGATTAATTTAGACACCACTACTCTAGAGACAGATAGTGTTACTGAAGTTTACTGGACAAGCTGTCCTGCTTGTATAGGCCACTGAAATATATTTTTGGCAATATTTGGTTCCATATTTTGTTATGTGCATGTCACTAAGAGATGTTTTGAGATGCCACTGGAAAGTGTGGAAAATTTCCACTCTCCACCTGAAGATGGCAGAATTTGGCAATTCATGTTTGCATGGCCTGTGTAGATTTCATGGTGCCTTCTTTTTCCTTGGAACCACAGCACAGCTCATTTGAACAATCAGGTGTCACAAAATTCCAAAAGCCGTGTTGTGATAAAATATTAAATCTTAAATGTGCATGTTTTGAAATGTAAATTGGTTTCCTTTGCAGCAATAACGCACAGATAAATTAGTATAAATATTATTTACACCATTTGTCTATTCGGTTCTCACAGTATATCAGTCCAAAAGGTAGTAGGAGCCATATCCCTATGTATGGTAATGTAATTACTATTTACTAATTACAATTCCATTCAAGTTACTGTGTAAATTGTTTTAGATTTAAATTGTTTTAAAGCAAAGAGCAGAGAAACTCAGATCTTTGTTAATAGTTTTGCCCTGCAAGATTCAGCACTTTAGTTAAGCAGCAGGCCGTATTATACACTCAGCTTACTTGTCATGTCCATTGGTTTTAATAACTGAATTATTATGACAGTGTATCTGTATATATAAAACCATTCAGTAGGTTCATGTTCAGAAATATTCACTCATTCATTCATTCATTTATTTCATGCTTATTTGTTATATTAATTCTCAATGTGCTTTTCTCATGTTTGTGAATCAGTTTTTTCCCAGTAATGGTGTTTAGGGATACTGTAAATTTTTAGGATGCAACTGAGACTTTTATAACTTTGCTTTTTAATGTATATGCAAGTGCAGCAATAATCTGTCAGTTAAGGCCTTTACAACTGCTTGTTAAGTGAAATGGAGCTGTTTCATTTTTACATGCATTACCCTCTATCAGGGTCATCTGGTGAACTTTAAGGAAGTAAACTTTGTTAATCCTTGTTTTGTGTATTAATTTTTATTTGAGGTTCAGTAAGAAAGCTTGTTACATTCATTGCCATTTAGTAGAACTTTACTGTTAGAGTATTAATTTCTGTTGGTATCAAGAAGTTCCATGGCAGGACATAACTGACCTCTCCATGCTCAACAAATGCATTCAACACCAGCAAACTGTGACTTTTCACATGCACACAAAATACATATCATTTGGACTGAATCACATACTTTAAATTTAGCTATTTTGACAAAATATTGTGAACAACATTTTTTGTAAAGCTTGTCTGACCAAGCAATAGTAGCTATAAAAGAACACATTTGTGGGTGTAGCCTAGATAGTAAGTTCTTGTCTGAGTGTGTGAGGAGAGTGCAGTTAGGCTTTGAATTTTTCATTCAGTTACTTTTGTTCCAAGGAACAATGTGTAGGTTCACTAAAGCATCACAAAGTATGCCAATTGTCAGTGACTGGCTGCTCCATTAAATCAATGAAAGCAGAGGCTAGTTGTTATTTTGACAAAACTCTCTTTCCAATTCATTTCTAGTGTCTCTGGATAGCTCTAAAAGTATAGCTCGTGAGTCACTCAAGTGATTTTACTCCCTTTTCTTCAGATAGAAGGTCAGTGTGCCTCTTCCAGCTTCCATGTGGCTCATGAGTTGAATGCAGATCATCCTGCATTGATGTGCCCCAGGTCCCACATCGCCTCTGTCAGCTTGTTAAACACTGGCAGCATTGCTGTCACTCCTGCGGCGTTACAGTGCCTTTTTAAATAGACCTGCCCCACTAAGGACTGTGGGATGTTCATTTGTTTTTTCGGGTAGCAGTCGGAGGTGAAGGTACTGATGGAACAGGAAGGGAATGTGAGTGGATCAGTAAACCTGAGGGTGATGCACTTTTTGAACATTACTTTCTGTGAATGCATGTACCGTAGATAGTAACTCTTGATTATGCCCAGTTACAGTGTCATGTTATCATTGCCATTAATTTCCATTACATATGTCATAATTGATGTTATGGTGGGTAACTGGAATACACTTAGCAGAAATTAGCATGTGACATACAACATTGTGAAAAAGTCAGAGACCACCCCTTTAATTTTTTTTTTAATTTCCAGTGAAGGCTACCATTAGGAACGTTTATTTTTCAGCATCTGGACCAAAATCAAACAACTAAACAAGTCTCTACACCTATATGTAATATTTTTTTCAGTATTTACTGTGTCCACTCAACCTCCTTTCTTTTCAGAATTCTCGCTTTAATTTCTTCTTAGAAATCTGTACGGATGTTTTTCCTCACCTTAGAAACTGGTTTGCATTTTCTGCTTCTCACAATCCAAGTAATCCCAAACACATTCACTGATGATGAGGATTGGACTCTGGGGTGGTCAGTCCATTGTTCTGAGAACACCAGAAGTACTTTTGATTTGCAAACCTTTTATGTTTTTATGTTTCCTTTTCTGAGTAATGGCTTCTAGACAGCTACACATCCTTTCAGACTCATAGTGTTGAGTTGTCTTTTCACAGTGGAAGGATGGACAGAAACACTTGTGGATTTTTGAAAGCAGGAGTGGAGCTCGATTTTCTCCTCACTCTCAAAGATGAAAGCTTAATGTACTGATATTCTTGATGGTTTGCCAGGTCCTGCACGGTTGTTAGGAGTCAGGTTTTCACTATATCATTTTTTGTGGATTATTGTATATCTAATCACCTCAGGAATATCTCTTGAAAAATGAATAGCTTTTATTTAATGGCTGTTTTGGCTCGAATTCAAAAGTATGAAGGGCAGCCTCTTTTTGACCTCTTTGGACTTTTGCACAGTACTGTAAGCTGTCGTGACATCAAACATTATGCCATTTGCCATGACAATTACCAGTAATGGTAATGTGACAATTATGTTACTGGACAAAATATGTCATGACAACTCATGACAGCATGTGATATCTGCTGTGACATGTTATGACAAGGTTAAGTCAAGTGAATAGCTTGACATAGCGAGAAGTAAATTGCTACTCACTAGATTATGTTGTTTCTGAAAATGTTTCATTGTTGTGTTATTGACTAGAGACAGTGATGAGTGCTGGTTCTTAGCTCTGAGTTATGCGTTTGCTCTGTCTAAGGAGAATATCTGCAGGTGTTTGCAGAGAACTTAATGAGTTGTTAATTATCGCCATAATTATCATCATCACCCGATTGAGCTAGAGAACTGATGTTCTGCGTTACAGTAACTAATACTCCAAATCAAGCGTACACTCAGTGGACATGCATCTTAAATAACTAATCATGGAGAGATTTGGGGTCAAGCACTTTGGGAGTTGAACCAGCAAACTCTCATTAATTTTCCCATTTCTCCAGTCGTGAAACCATCTGCTTTTCACTATCTTTATCAGTTATTAATTGAGGAAATTATAGGCATCATTTTGGACTCCATGCTTTTTCAGGGAGTATCACAACTCATGAGGTGTTCCAAAAAGATGGAAATGTTCATTTATAGTTTCGCTCTTTGGATAAAATTTGATGAGGAAGAGAACAGCAGACTGACTGGATTTATGATGGTCCACATGACGCATTTGCCCCTCACCCAATTTCTTCTATTTTCGCTAATTTGTCACATTTAAATGTTTCAGTCCATCCAATTGTAATTATAAGATAAAGACAACATGAGTAAAGACAAAATGCAGCTTTTAAATGATCATTCCATTTACTGAAGATAGTAATTTATTCCAAGCCTATATCACCCATGTGAAAAGGTAATTGCCCCACCTGCTGTGTATTGTTCCCTCAGTTTTAAATGTGTAGTGTAATCTGACACAACTGCATGCAGAGTCACAGGCCGGAGCAATGTCATGAGACCTTCTAGCCTGCTTCACATTGCCAGACAGGTTCTAGTCAAGTGATGTTTAGATTCAACAGGTCTGGCAGTAGTCATGCTTGGGTGTGCATAGTGAAATTGAACCCAACAGTCAACTGAATTTGGTTAACTGGTTGATTTAGTAGCTAA